ACCTTTCTCAATGATTCTTGCACGTTATAATGTAATAAAGAGACCCCACGTATTGCAGACGTCAAGTAAGAAAAGTAACAAAGCTCTCGTTGCATCCCCTTCATTTCTTCCCTCTAACTTTTATGGCTTACAATTGAAAAGAAAAAATTACCTATATCTCAAGCATTATTTAATGAATCCCAAACAATAGACATGATATGGAGAACAAACAATTTTTTATGAAACGTATGGAAGATTATTCTATTTTTTTTCATTCATTATTGATGTTATTTTTAAAATATTTGAGTAGTTATATTGGATAATTAATAAATGATATAGGATAGAAAATTATTCATTGTTGTATGAAATATGCTTTTTGACATACATTGAAAATGTATGCGTTTAAAAAAAAAAACAAACAGGTAAAGTGTCTGTTTTTTTTTAAATTTCATACATAAACAATTCATTGTTAAGTATTAATATTGTAAAATATTTGTATGACGCCATCTAATGACTATTAGAGTAACGACAGTTTGTTAGTTAACGACGATTGCTTGACGATTAGATTGTTTATAGCAACGAGGGGAAAGTTGTTTATCTCCAGTTTTTGACTGAGACTTGGGTTGACCGTACAGATTCTTTGATTTCTAATTAATTGCTGTCAATCTTTAATAAACATTTTTCTTTATTTATTAATTTTCCGAAGTTGTTATTTGGTCTTATTATACAATATGATAAAATATGCAAAATATTAGTCAGCTCATTCATACGGTAGTTTTGTTTATTATAAGTAAATATGTATTTAAATGACTTAAAAAATTGTTGTAATTAATAAAGGTTTTATATTTTTATAATGGATAATGAAGAATGAGAAATTTCAATCCTCGAATTAATGAGTATTTTTTATTTTAATTACAATTATCGTACTAATGATTATTGGTACAGAGAATGTTGGACGGCAGGCAGGAGGAAATCAGATTTTATGTAGAATAAAAAAAGTTTAAACCATTGCTGATAGTTCACTTTGAAAAACAAAATTAGTCTGATATTCAACATAAAGTACATTAATTATAGAATGATTTTAGGAAAAATTTCGTATTATTCATTAGGTACTAAAATCATCGAAATTTTTTAACTTAGGAATGAGTACTATAAACCACAGAAAAAAGTCCAATGTTGAGCCCGTTTGAACTTGAATTTGATTATTAGTTTTTAAATGAATTATTTTTTTTTTAATTAATAATGAACGTTTAATCCACGTTCAAAACATTTTTCAAAAAAATAAAATTGCATGAAGAAAAGTATGTTCGGGCATAGGACTTTTTACTGTGGTTGATAGTATTTTCACACTCGGGTAAATGGGAAATTTTTTTTTCTCTTAACAATAACAAACCCGAAACAGGATTTACTATGGTCCGAAGCGGAATTTCATAATGACCAAAGAGTTTTTTAAATTGTATTTTATTACATTTACTGAAACTTTGGAGATAGTCCACAAGTACTAAAAATCGTTAGTAATTTTTCCATAGTTATAATCATAGTTATAACTTTATAAATTTTGCTTCATTGAATATGATAATTAAGTGAATACTAAGTCTATTTATGATTTAAAAACTTCCTGAAAATAGGATAATGATCACCGTTTAACTTAATAGTAAATGTGTTATTAAATATTCACTATTTTACAATGATCCATATATTGTATCCATATACACGGAGAAGACTGGCACTCGATATTACATAAAAAATTACAATAATATCGTAAATAGTGCAATACGCAATTAAAAGAATACTAGAACTTGTTAATAGCCATGAAACTATATGGTAATTTTGCATGGTCTTTTACAAATAGCTTATATTTTCCGTTCAATGTGGATTTTTTTTTCTACTAAACGTGATCGAAAAATTACTCAATACTGAAAAATTATTCTTTCTTACAGTCGTTGAAACAAAGAAGCTGAGATTATCACGCAGTTAAATAGTGTGTTTTTTATTTTTAGTGTTGTGATTCTTCTTTGTTTCAAGAAATATGGATACATCAGAAGAGCTACCAGATCCAGCACAGTTTTTCAGAAAAGTTAATTGCGTATTATAACCATCATTTTCAAGCGTACAAGATTGAAAAAAAAATTTTACTCATTTATACCATTATATTGGATTGATATACGTTATAATATAATAACTTATAAAATTTTACTTGGTGATGATAAAGAATATATTGCAAAAAGATGGATTTAAGTAATCCATAATGATTCACGTTTATAAACTAGAAGAATAGAGAAATTACAAAAGCTTGGAATATATTTATTATAGATGTATAGTAAAAATTATATTGTCAGAATGTAATTTTCCTCATGAAATTGATGATCTTTATAATTAAAAACAGTAATATATACCAAAGTTACTGTAGAAAATGATCTTACAAATAAGAATTATTTTCAATTCAACATAGGAAAAATTGCAAACTGTAAAATTATCTATTATGTATATAACATAAATGTTTTTCTAAGAAATGCAATTTTCACTATAACATTCTGTTGAGAAAATCTCAACGTTGAATAACCTAATCGTCTAAGGATAGGGATGATTGTACTGGATCAGAGCAATTAGGAAGTCAGGTTTTATAAAAAATATATAATCTTTATTTTCAGCACTAACAGGTACACAATATACATTGTACAACTTTTTTGTCACTGAATAAAAAGAATGAATGTCTTTAGAGATCACTGAATGTCAATTTTAATGAATGAATTTTAATTGAATGTCTAAAAAATACTCAACTTGGTGTGTGTTCGGTATTATTGACCTCCCACACGAGTTCAACACGCTTCTCAAGTTAAGAAAATATGATTGTACACGTGGCGTTAGCCTATCAATGCAATGAAAAATGAATTTAATTCAAGTAGTTGGATTCACAGTGAATTGTCTTGAATTATTAATTGATTTAGTTGTAGAATGAAGAAATGAATGTTTCTGTCGTTTCAAAATGACACTAGCACTAATGATTAACTTGAACAGGGAAGACTTTAGAGAGATGAATTAGAATGGCGTGTACACGTGAATGATAACAGCAAAAGAGTGACGACAGGAACTTCATTGGTCAAGATGGAGACTGAAAATTAGTCAAATGAGTGACTAGATTAAGAAATATTGATTATTTGGTCGATTGGTTATCGACCTAGTGACAAGATGGCCGCCGAAGTTTCTATCAGCTGATAATTCAAACTTGAGAATTGGTTAATTCTCAACACATTTAGTAAAATGTGATTTCTATAGTAACAATTTTTCTTTTGAACACTTCATAATATTTCAATTATGTAAAGTAAAGATTACATTACAACATAGGAAATTTTCTACTACTTTTGAATAACTTAAATAACAAAATTTATGTAAAAATAACTCTGAGTAATATCAATCATTTCAAACAGCATTCAGTAGTAATTAACAAAACATTTTGTGGGTTTAGGAAAACAATAAAAATTTAGTAATTTTTTTGCAAATCCAAAATCCCCTCACACATGTTTGAAATTTACTCAGATAATGTCTAACGCCATAAATGAACTATAGTAATTTTGTAGACATTTTTTACATACATAATAGTGTGTGAAAAATTCACACACGTAGGATAGTTTGTTAATGGCGTTATACATGTAACACATATCAAATGAATGTATTTTAACACGTGTGTGAATCATCTCAGATTTGCAGTGTAGAGAACGCGATTTGATAACTTAAGAAAACACATTCAGAAGTTTTTACTGGTAGTCAAAATTGCACCTAGGAAATTCTTTATATCTTAAAAAAAAATTTTACAAACTTGACTAATTTACTAACCCGAAATTTTAAATGCTTCTTCAAAATTAAAGTTATTATGATCCTATTGTATTACAAAAATTTAGAACAAGAAATACTTTCACATAGTTGGTTTCATAAATAATGTTAATATTTGGATAGATGTACTGAAAATTTTGTTCAACTGGAATCATTTAATTTAGTTGAAAATGTCAAATTGAACACAAAGCATAGTCTATCAGATAAATATGGTGAATCATTTTTTGACTGAATAAAAAGATAAAAACAGCATTTTGAAATTCATGGACAGAGTTGAGAGGCCCATTGGAGTGCTATGGAATTTATAGTCCATAGAGAATAGAATGCAACAACATAGAGAGCAGAATAGCAGGGGAAATGGGGGGACTAGTGCATGGACGACAGTTGCAAGCTCGTGTGTGTCTATTCGGCAATGAACTGCATGGTTTAATGGTCTCACGTTAAACTTTCCCACGGGAGACACCTAGGCGTGACTAATCGCTGTTAGAAACAGGAAACGAGAGACAACCATCGGATGTTCGCAAGTCGTCCTTTTCTATAGCAAACGACGGATTATCGATTTTACATGAATTTTTTTCTTTTATTCCAACACCTCCATTACAACTTGAAGATTTTTCATTCTTAATGTTGTTTACATTAAGGTTTTATCAAGTATTTCATGAATAAATAGTCAAGTTACGTAAATCTTCAAAAGACAAATCGTTTTTCTTAAAAAAAATAAATGAAACATTAAATTTTTACTCACATTTGTTTCTATGATTTTTCAGCAAAAAAAGCTCAGTTTCTCTTGTGCGAATTCTTTCGACACGGATTTAGTGTCTTACCAACCATTTGTCTCATTTATCAAAATAAATGGATTTACTATTCAACGTAGATATTTACGTCTATCCTTTGTTCACCTTGCTAGGACTTTTCCCCATGTCTCTGCCCATGTATCGTTCACGTTTTTTCCTTCTTTCCATTTTTTTATGTTTTTCTATGCTTTTTCTATCTGGTTCTACCGGGTGACAAGCTTCTCCCTTTTTTTCCTCATTCTTTGTTTAATAAATTTGAATTTCCTACTAAATTCATCACGTTATCTGTATATATTTTATAGTGTTTTTCCTTTAAAAAAATAAATGGTCAGAATAATTGAATAAATCGCTGTTAATTGAACTAATCCGAATAAATGTTAATTTTAATAATTCCAGGTGACGCTTTCAATTTCAATTCTCATCAGTCTTCACGTCTTCTTTTTACTAGTCGTCGAAATCATACCTCCAACTTCACTTGTTGTACCACTACTTGGAAAGTACCTGATCTTTGCAATGATACTTGTTTCCATTAGGTAAGTCATTTTGGAATTTTATTTTATATTTCATAAAAAAAAATAAATTCTTAAGACACGTTAGAAAATTCTTACTTTAACATCAGAAACAGACTGTGCGTTTTCAGTGGCTTGAGTGTCTTTAGAATAGAGAGGTAGACTCAAGAGAATAAAGAGAAGGAGAAAAAAGTGACGACTGCAGTACCACGACATTGTCTTAGAAATAGGTTCTGAAAGTGCCTGAGCTAACATTTATATAAGAAAATAAAAAGTCTTTATATTACATTATGCAGCAATACACATTATTTAGAATAATGTAGGAGATCATATGGTTGGATGATTTAAACAAGAGAACTGAGCATAAAAATTAATGAAAAAACTTCGTCATAGTCAACGAGCATTTAAGAAGTTCTCATTGGAATGATGATCAATACTTATTTCAGTATTTGAAAGTCAAAAAAAAAAATTCAATTTTTCTTGTAATTTATTATCTAAAATCCATCTAACTGAAATGCAAATCTTTATTTCAATCCCCGCGAATCTCCCTGAAAATGTAATCATGAGATGTGAGTGATTTTGATTAATGGTTCAGTTAAACACTTCTCTATTAGATATAGATCTCAGTAAATACAAATTTCTGATAACTACAAAAAGAAAGCAATTAAAAAATTTGTCAATTCCAAGATAAATTCTTTACATTTATTTTTTAATTTCAATAATGCAGTTTAAACAAATTCTATAGTTTTGGTGCACTAAATAAACATTTAGAGTGTGATTGAAATTGTTCGATAATAACATTTGTTTTATTCTATCTCCTAAATTTTTTTATTACAAAAAAAAGGTTTTTTAGTTCTGTGCAAATCCGTTCCTAATCGTTGAAGATATTCATTCTTCTCTACACGCAGAGAAATGTATAGTAAAAATTACCCTGAATTTTATGATAATTTAGTGATACTGCAGTGTGAGGGTAAAAATTACTATTCACATTGTAAAAATGACTGTGCAGTTTAGTAATTGTTATCCTCACACTGCAGTGTCACCAAATTACCACACAATTCAGGGTAATTTTTACTATACATTTCTCTGCGTGTACGTAACATATACACAGAGCAAACAGTCATGGCAATATTGCTAGAATTCTAGAAAACTTTACTAGAAACTCCTTCACTTATATGGATGATCGTCGAGTCAAGCAAAATGTACTAGAAATGTTTCATCAATAGATACTCGAGGTTTACGATAAATTTTAGTAAAAATTACTTCACTTGAAAGTAGTTTTTACAAATATAGTAGCTAATTTAATCAAATTATTCAAAAATTTCTTTGAAAAAATTAATAATTTGATAAAATTAGTGATAACATTATCTTTCATTAATTTAACATATCTTATATTGTTGAAATACTAATTATCAAACGTATCTTCATTAAATTTCTGCAAAAATACATATGCTGAAATTTATTTCTTGGGGGATTCGAACCTACGATTGCTAGCTTGCTCGCATCTGAGAACAGTGCCTTTACCCGCTAGGCTATTCATTAATTAAAAACTTATTACTATTATATTAATATGAACGAATCCACATGTATTATTTTTTTACAAGATTTATGTGAATCATTATTTATTTTGAATCTCCATAATAAATAATGTTAATGGTTTAAATATTTTCATACCTTTAAATTATTCTTTTTTTCTAAAACTACAATATATTTTCAGTCAACATAATTCAGTTACGGTTTAATAAAAACAATTAACTTCTGTTTAAAGAAAAAAGAATATCTGAAAATATTTGTATTTTTACAATTCCTTGTTATTGAAATTTAAAGAAAATACTTAATTTAATGTAAATCTTTTATATTGATACAAATTTATTTTAAATTCATCCTTACAACTTTTTGATTCGTTCTTCAAACATTTTAATGACACGCAGAGAAATGTACAGTAAAAATTACTATAAATTTTATAGTAATTTAGTAACACTGCTGGGTGACGGTAACAATTATTATATACATTGTAAAAATGACTGTGCACATTGTTGAATTAACTAAACTGCATAGTAATTTTTAGGGTGAAATTAGAATAAAAATAACTATGTAGTTTAGTAAATTCAACGATGTGCACAGAAATTTTTACAGTGTGTATAATAATTTTTACCGTCACCCTGCAGTGTCACCAAATTACGATAAAATTGAGGGTAATTTTTACTATACATTTCTCTGCGTGGAGGCTAATGTCTTATGCGCCTAATTTAGATGTAATTTTTGTTAGCCTAATGCGGACCTGATAAACATTTTCTAATAAATTACAAACTAAGACATCGTTTTAGTTAAGTTCATAAGGTTGTAATTAGGAAGTTATTGGGTAGTGCGAAATTGGGCAAATTTTATTTCATCCTAAAAACAAATTGATCAGGCATAGGTTGGGAATGCCTAATTTACGCTAACCCATTCAATTCCCAATAAGGGCCCAATGGGCATGCCTAAAATAAATTCTACTCGTGATGATGTAGTAAAATTCGATATTTTAGTTAAATTTTAATAAATTTGAAATTCATCTACACTGACTGAAAATTACAATACATGTGTTGAGTATTTTTCAGTGTGCATATTGAAACAGGCTTAATGCCGGTTAAGTCATTAGGTGAGTTGATAACCTTAAAAGTTGTTCGTCCATATTTCTGCACAATTCTGAATAGAAATAAAATATTTATATTTTAACAACTACCACAATAATAGATATAATTGTAGTCTTTGAATCCCCACAATTAATTCTTTTAATCACCAAAAAATTTTCCGATATGTCCTTTTGACATATGTATGTGGTCATGTACACATGACCATACATATATATATATTGTAAAATATTTGTATGTCGCCATCTAATGACTATTAGACTAACGACAGTTTGTTAGTTAACGACGATTGCTTGACCATTAGATTATTTATAGCAACGAGGGGAAAGTTGTTTATCTTTAGTTTTTGACTGAGACTTGAGTTGACCGCACAGATTCTTTGATTTCTAATTAATTGCTGTCAATCTTTAATAAACATTTTTCTTTATTTATTAATTTTCCGAAGTTGTTATTTGGTCTTATTTTACAATATATATCTAATTGAAACAACCCAACAAACCAAAAAGTACTGAAACATATTGAAAATTTATAATTTGAATCCGTAAATAATGAAAAATCGTATTGAAACATATATGTATTATTAATACTTTCCTGTACTTCTCAGTCTTAACCTCATACCCAATGCGTTCATATACTTTTGAATCCGTCAATTTTTTTTTCGTGATCGATACGTTTCAATTCCTTTCAATACTGATCAAGTGTAAATCCATTTGAATACTTTCAAATCTGTTCATTTTTTGCCATGCCTAATGCATTCTAATTTTTCCAATACTAACTTAACACTCATATCGATTGAATACTTTTGAATCTGTCAATATTTTTTATGATCAGTCCGGTGTAATTCGTTTTAATACTAATCGAAAATCTACTTTATCTCAATATTTTCGAGAACGTTAATTTTTTACCATGCTCAATACACTTCCATTAATTGAGATTGTAGTCTACTATATGAACAAGTACTTGTAAAATTTATAAAAATATTGTTTTACTCAAGTACAGATTAAGTATACGTTTTAATACTTTTTCGTCATACCCGCACGGAAAGTTCACTTTTCCATTGGAGAGGGGTTGAACTTTCCACGCAGGTATGACGAAAAATCATATTCAGCCCTAGAGAAGACAATTAGACTAGCTTAAACCACGTGTTTACTACCCTCGCCTTCGGCTCGGGTTGTAATTTTACACGTGGTTTGAGCTAGACTACTTTCCCTCCCTAGGTGTGAAATGTACTATAAAATACTACACTGCTTTGTTATCCAATCTGATTTAATACTTTTAAATTTGTTCATTTTATTCTATATTTCAACCATGCTGATCGTGCACATGCTATTTTTCAATTTTCTAAGTCCTATCGCGCTTGATGTTAGGATGAAAACGACCGAAAAATAGTGCTGTATATATAAAATAGATTCTTAGTGGGTTTAGTTGCTTTTTCCATTTTTCCACCTTCTTGTGGTTTGTTCTCAGTATTATCATTATTTTCTTCAACATCCATTTCATGCAGTTCGACTATGCTATCTTCCATCACTTGCTCTTCAATTTCCATTTGAATGTCATCCGTAATGTTATCATCTTTATTATCATTGCCTGAAAATGGGAAAATGAATCAAATGATCTTCGCATAAAATAATTTCGGACTATTAGTCTAGTCATCTGAGGGAAATGAATGATTTTTAATATGCTGGTGGCAAATTGAAAGATAACCAGTGTTAAAAAATAGAAATTTCTCGCGAAATTAAAAACTGACAATGCGAATTTTCTGTCACTCATAGGGAAGGGGCAGATAAACGATAATGACCCCCTTCATTAAAATATTTTCGAATCTATAATAGATAAGAAAGAAAAAATTTCAAATAAAAATTGTTCAGAATGCAATTTTACAAAAAAATGCGCTACACATCTGAAAAAAAGCTGCACATGCATCAGCCATTGAAAAGTATAAGTACAAGTGAAACAACACACTTCATCAAGGAGTGTAAGAAAGAGAGATCGGTGACAGAGTTAAGGGATTAAAAGGCTTCTGTGGGCAAGAGAGACGGTTCAAAATTACAATAAGAAGTCATAAAAATTTTTATGACGGTGGTTGAAAGCCAAACATGCTTTTATGCCCAAATTAAATATTTTTATTATCACCTCGGTGAAGATTTTCTTAGCTTTAATTTTCAAAGTCGCACAACGCTGGATATGAGGGAAAAAATCGTCAAAAATCAGTACAGATTTTTAGATATACCGATCGATAGAGAATTCAATTCTCTATTGATTGAACATGACTTGTTTTTTGATTTTTTGCGAATTTTTATTTGCAGAAAAATTGCATTGAAAAAATTATTTTGGCATTGTTTGGTATTGGAAGACAAAAATTTACCTATAAACTAATTTTTAAGATTCTTT